AGGGGGGGGGGCAAATAGTGACAGGAGGTAAATAGTGTCACTTTATATTTCTCCTCTTTTCCGCGTCTATTTTACCACTACTCGTTAATAGAAAGACAGTTCTCAAGCATCTAATCATCTTCTGAAAAAGCAGTAAAAATCAAAAGCCAAATATAGCTAGCGGAGGAGTTTAAAATTTTGCATTCGTAAATTTAGATAAAACCTGGATCTTTTTTTGATATTTGAAGTTATATTTTCTTAAGTGCTGAATCGTTGAATGAGATCTAATCTATTCTATGTCATACGGTATCTTTTTCCTCTATTTTGATATAATTCTTATGCTTGTGTATTAATTTTATTTCCCTCAGTAAAATTTTAAAGGAAAAAGTAGCGGGGCAAATAATGACAATTTTTAGTTGGTAAATAATGACAAGTCAAAAAAGCTTTTTTAATATTCGAATATGATTTTTCTAATTTATTTGGGATAATGTGAGATTAGTTACAAGACAAGATCCAGAATAAATGTGATTTTTAATAAAAAAACACTAGCAAATAATATTACTACTATTATTTATTAATAAAAATTTACGTATAGCAGAGTATCGAAATTAATATAAATTACCTTATCTAATAAAATTGTCAAAAGAAAGATCGATTAGGAGTTAAGAATTATGTATTTGGTAATTGTCCCATAGGGTGTCACTGTTTACCCATATAGGACGGGGCAAATAGTGACAAATGTAGGTTTCAGTTTTTATGAAAATCTGTCCCGTATACATGCCTTATGGAAACTCTAATTAAGTTTTTTGTATATTTGAAAGTGGAAAGTACTCTTTTAGTGAAAAATCATATCTTGTAAACTTGAACTTAGCTTGTAGGAGAGACAGGAAAAAATCCGTCGCTATTTGCCCCCCTCCCTTCCCTTACTAGATGCTTTCAGATTGCAACTTTACATGATCAGGCGCGTTTCCAAAGTACGATAATCGCGACGACGCGTCGCTAATTCCCAATTTCAAGTATGAGAAACTATAAATCGACGTGAATGGAGTTACGTAGCCGGAGGGTAAACCGATCGCTGTAGACACACGCGGGCGTGGGGGAGGTGGGAGGGGGGGGGGGAGGGAGGTCGCACCAAGCGCAAACTCCGCGCACGGCGGGCGCGTGTAAGTCTCTAATATGATTGTCTCACGCCCGAGCACGACTTCTCGTTCGTCACTCCGCAGGATTTTCTTGTAACGATATTCCCCCGCGCGCAACCCCCCGTTACACGGGAAGTTTGCCGCCCCGCTAAATTAAATATGACCACGAGAGCATCCTCAACACCTTACAGCCTCAACCTACAACTAGTCTTGATAATGCCGTTAAACAATTTCCCCACTCCTCGTTCCCCACTATTTTCGCGACCAATTTCAAACGGTGCAAAATGTCACGCTGCAACAAGATTATTTGCGTATCCCAATAACGTGTTTAGTACATATACACCTTGTTCTCCTCTCTATAAAAGAATATCAGGGTTCGACTGTTATAATCGTAATAACGATGATATATTTAATATATCTGACACATACCTCTTCCTCATGTTATATTATATTCAAGCAGCGTGTCTTTGATTCGAAAAAGAAGTTCAATTCTAAATATATATGATGAAAATAAAGCGTCAAGTTAGCTGTTTTCCCAAAATTGCTAGACGCTACGATAATTATACAGAGATATGACATGACTGAATTTCAAACGTCAAAATGTATCGCGGCGGAATTAAATTACGCGCAAAATTCGTATCGAAATCCACCCGAAGAATAACAACGGCGGGAAGTCGGGAAAAGCGAGTGCAGGTGCGGCGGCATGCATGTGCGACAATGGCCCCGAGAGAGGGTGCGCCGTCTAGAGCCGGGGGAGGATGACTAAGGTACTGAATACAGGGTAACTGGGATAATTATTTCCGTGGCCGGTCGGACGCTCCATTTAACCTATAAAATTTGCATACACACGGTCGGCACCCTCGTGCGAACGTAAGCGCGCGCGCGCGCGCGCGCTCGCGCCAATGTCGGCGGAGTTCTACCTGGTCGTCGCCTTGCGTTTTAATCAGGGTCGCGCCGTCGACTGCACGATGCTAAATTACGTCTACGTGATGTTTACCTGGACTTTTTCTTACGCGGACGGTAAACTATGGGGGTCACGCGGAAGACAAACGAGTTAGTTCTTATTTTCCAGCTTTCTCCGCGAAAGAAAATGCATACTAATCTTGCTCTTGGTTATGGCTGGATGTCTTAAATAAAAAAGAAAAGAATACAAGAAAATCGCTAGCTTAAGCTAGCGATCAATTGATACGATTATTAAAGATTAAAAATATTTTGTGATTAAATAATTTTTGATACACAATTAAGACACAAATTCTAAATGCAGTTCAATGAGAGTTTTTTTGAACAATTATCGAAAAAACCATCATAAATAGGAAATTTAGAAGCAAAAAATCTTGGGCTTTAATTAAAAAATAACTTGAATAATAAAGTTTTTTAGATATATTGAATTTACAAACCTGGAATATAATAAAATTTTTTTAGTACTTGCTAATATCTTGGTATCAAAACCAGAAGAAAATAAGTTTAATTTCTTTTGATAGAAACTTTTTATCCAGTAAATAATGGAACGAAGAAGAAAGCACAATCATCATGTGTGCAGTCTACATAGATTACGCATTGTCCGCACAGATTACGTGCGAAATGACAATTTACACAATATATACACGATTCTTGCTTACGTGTACGAGTCATTCACGACTGGTTTTAATGGAAACTTCTTGCACCTGGCCGGTTCGCACTGAACATTACGTGGAAATTTATTTCCGCGAGTCCGATCGTAACCGCATGAAATATTACGGCAAGGCTGACGTATGTTTCTTTAATTGCGTCCACGTTAATTCTAGCTTGTTTGCAACGGAAATTTGCGAATGATAACGGTCACTTGATTAATTACGGACAACTGACCACGTTGATAGGCCACGACGCGCTTAAGTAATTAAAATAACTATGTATACTATGTGGTAAATTTAAAATGCTTTCTTACTGTTAATTTAGTGATTTTAACTTTGCATAAAATTTTATATTTACCTAACCCACTTTAAACAGATAGATTATTATGAAATCTTATGCATACTCAAAATTATTACATTTTAATATTTCTAATAATTAAATGTGCCTTTTTAAAAAGCTTAAAAATAATAATTGCTAATAATAATTATTAAATTAGTATTATTATTATTATCATAAATAATTATTATTAGAAATAAAAACAGAACTAGAAATTTTCTAATAATAAAATCGCGGCAAAAATGTAGTTTTTGTAAAGATTAAGGAAAATGTTAATAAATTGAGTAAAATTAATTCTTATACCTCTTTTGACACTATTTACTCAAAATATAA